GAAAATGACTTCCCACTGCAAAGACCTTCACATCTCTCAACGCTTTGACTAAAAAATGACCACTCTCTGCAAAGGTTCCCACACCCCTCAAATACACTACTACAAAATAATAACATATGCACATTATCACACAATTCAATCTCATCAAACATCACATCTTATTTCTCTTGTCCCACATTTCTAATATCTTCAATGAATTTTAATTTTGGCAATTCATCATCTTCTCATCTAATGATGATGATAATCATATGCTAATTATGAAAGCTCTTCGTAAAAATTAAAAACTGATAACTCGTGTTATCACTAATAACAACATGATCATTTTCACCTTCTCCAACAAGAAAACCATGAAGCCTCCCATGGAGGTTCTGTTCCTGGCATATTTTTATTAATCGTGATCGACTGCTAATCGAAGGTTGTACAACGATTATGTTTCTGATAATCTATTGTATAACGAGACCATGTTTCATAGAAGATATCGAATGTCTAGCTCGTTGTTCATTCGAATTATCGATGCAGTCAAAGATCATGATCATTACTTCCAACAATGAGTAGATCGAGCTGGCAGACTTGGATTATCTCCAATACAAAAAATGACTGTTGTCTTTCGCATGTTACCATACGGTGTTCCAGCAGATGCTACATGCGAGTAAGTCAAAATTGGTGAGTACACTTCATTTGAAGTATGAAAAAGTTCTATTGAGCGATAGTTGAGGTATTTAGCGAGCGATATCTGCGGAGGCTAACATCTGATGATATTTCTAGACTTCTATATATTAGTCAGTAACGTGGTTTATTCAAGAATGTTGTGGAGTTTAGATTACATGCATTGGAGGTGGAAAAATTGCCCTACAGCGTGGGCCGAGCAACATGTGGGGCATAATAGAAAGCCTATAATCATTTTTGAAGCTATAGCAGATTATGATCTATTGATATGACATGCTTATGTCGGTTTGTCGGGATCTACCAACGATATCAATGTTTTAGAATCATCTCATTTTTTATCAGATCTTACCCAAGGTATTGCTCCCCCAACTTACTATATAATTCAAGGGAAAAAATATAACATGGGTTATTATTTAACTTATAACATATATCTCAAATGGTCTATTATTGTGCAAACAATGCATGAGCCACGTGGTCCGAAGAAAAGGTAATTTGCAATAAAGCAAGAAGCATGCATAAAGGACATTGAGCGTGCATTTGGAGTTCTTCAATCATATTTTGGCATTGTAGCAGGACCAATACATTATTGGAAAAAATAAGCGCTACAAGATATAATAACCACACGTATAATTTTACATAACATGATTGTCGAGGATGAACGTCATCTAAGTTCACTAATCGAAACTGAGATGGAAACGCCACTGCTAGAGGTCGTAATAGCAGTAGATGAAAATACTCGATTTGTGGAATTCATATCTCGGTACAAAAAAATTAGAAATAAAGATGATCACATTGCACTTTGAAATGCACTAATTGATCATTTGTGGGAGAAATTCACCAATTCCGAGATTTTTTTTTTTGGTTTGAAACGATAGAGAATTTATATAACAAACGCACAAATGTGCAAAGATACAATTTGGAACGCAACCCAAAGCTGAATAAAATGGGAGGACAGGTCTGACGACCGCCTAGATTGAAAGACTGTATTTTTTTATTTGTATGACTAATTATTTTGTATATTTCAATGTATTTTTATTTTTCATCTCGTGCATTGTAATATTTAATTTTTAATGAATATTTATTTATTCAGTTTTACTAGGTATATGAATTATATCATTAATTAATTTTATAATATAAATTGCAAATCAAATTTAAAATAATAGTGTGCCTTCCCCGGCGGGTCGCCGCACCCAAATCCTCTCGGTTTCGTTCAGCAGATCCTCCGCCGCGTAGCCTTCCCCGGCGGGTCGCCGCACCCTTCGCCGGCGGATGGCCCGTAGCTGCACGTTCCAACTCAAATTGCGCTCCAATCCAGGTACCTCGGCTTCAAAGGAGGATTTCGGGCGACCTTGGTCGAGAACGGCGGGTTCGACGGCTCTGTGCTCCGTCCCTGTTCGGTCGACGACGGCGGGTTCGACGGCCCCCTTGCTGAGTGTTTTCGATTCTCGGCCACGACGGTGGATGGCCGACTTCCTTTGGTCGATTCAGTCTCTGGCTGGTGGTCGATGGCAGTTTCGGTGTCTTCTCCTCCGTTTTGGGTTCGACTGCTGCAAGATTGTGCGTGACTGGGGGTTGGGGGTGGCCCTGGCGCTCGGCTCGTCTGAGTCGCGGCGGCCGGTGGCTGAGGGGGATTGATTCTTGCTCTGTTGGGATGCCGGCATGCCCGAACCTAGGCCAGTGGTGTTGGCCGGGTCTCGGGTAGCTGGAGTCTGGAGGAATGGTCGATACTCCTCTGGCTACGGGTCGATTTCATCCTTGGCGTGGTTCGATGTTTGGGATTCATCCTTGCTAGGCATTAGGCAGTGGCGGGAATTGCGTTCCGGATGTTTGGGTCAAGCTATGAGATGGATCGTATTTCGCTGGAGCATTGTGCTTGGTTTCGGCTTTCCCATCGGGGAAGGGCTTTGATTGTTTGTTTTTTAGGTCCTTTTTCTCTTAGTTGTTCTCTTTGTGTTCGTGTCTTTCTAGCTGTTGTTGGTGTTTTTGGTTTGGGTCGTTTGGCCTCTGTGCGCCCGAGTGTCAAATTTATTACTCCATGGGGATCCGACACTCGGTATTACTCCGTTGGGGGTCTTGTCTAGTTTTGTTGGTGTGGTTGTGTTTTTTGTTGTTTTCGTTTGTGTTGCCCGAGTATTACCCCGTTGGGGTCGGCTCTAGGCGATCTCTGGATCTGCCTCCCAGTTTTCTAGTCTCTGGTTGTACTATTCAGCCTTTGGCTGCTTTTTTTTTCGCACTTTGTGCGGCTTTATTAATATAGTACCTCTATCGTTTCGGGAAAAAAAAAATTGTAAAGTTGTAAAATATATGAGTAATATTGAAAAGTTGTAAAAGTCAATGTAAAAGGGAATATTTCAAATTTATCTGAGTTTGAGAATGAATTTTTCGGCTAGAAATGAATCACTGTTTGATATGATAGTTAATCCAAAATGAGTCTGAGAATGGATTTTCAGTTGATAACGACCAAGCCCGCTGAAACTTGCATAATTGGGAATTAAAGACACTCTCCAACTTTTAAAGAAAAAAATATTCCTATTTTAGCACACCATGTCATTTTTCCCCTTTCGCCAGTTTTTATTCCTCTAATACTTTTTTAAATGTCATTTATAATTTAATATAACTGCTTATTGTTAAAGGTATGTTGCGGTTACTTCTTTCTTCTTTTTATTTCCCACGATTACTCTGTTCTGCCTTATTAATCTTTTACTTTTTATTCTTTCCCTTTTCTCCTATTGTTCTATATTTGTTCTTGTGCAATTATCAAACACAGGAACCCTACCACGACCAAATCTTTCTAGAAATTGAATTCATAGGTCTCAGACCTGCAACCTATGGCCATGCATTGCACCGACCGCCGACCTGCAGCTTATGGCCTCTCGTTCGATGCCTTCCAGAACCCAATCGCAATCTCGTCACCCCGCCTCTGCCAATTTTTTATTCCCAAATTTGAGTCGTTGATATCCTAATTCATCAACCTATTAATATATAAAGAGGCAATGATATTTACCTGAAATAGTAACTAATCCCGCCTAAAATATTTACTAAATTGAGTAATCTTTTTTACCAAAATTTACAAAATCCCGCCTATGTGATATCAACTTCAATTTTTCGAAAATTTAAAATGTAAGCATTGGGTCAGTTTGGAACAAAATCGAATTTAATTTTGTGTCTATCAGATATATTTATACTATTTATTTTTTTAAGAGCCGATTGTCTTGCCAATCAAAAAATCAGATTTTTTGTTAATTTAAACTATCAGTTTATTTCAAACATTTTCTTTTTGCCAATGAAAAAAATAAGAATTTAGTATTTCAACAAAATATTACCAATTATAAAAAATACGAGTTGGCCAATAATAAGATACAGTTACACATATGAAAAAATCTATATGATTTTTTTTTTTTGTTCATTTTTGGTTTATAATCACAATAAAAATCATTTTTAATTCTAATTATCATTCAAAAATCCATAAGGTAGCAAAATTTAAGTCCATTACACATGGTTATCAAAATCGCGACTTTGAGTCGTAGAATCGCCGATTCTACGACTCAAAATCACAAAATAGATTCTAAGTCGTTTAAAATCGCAAAGGAATGTAAAGTCTGTATAGAATCGGTAGAATCGGTCAAAATCGTAGAATCGAACCGATACTAAGACTTTGACCGATTCTGTGCAAAACTCAAGAAATGTTAAAATTGGGCTGCATTTAGGGCTTTGGGCACTTGGGCTGTTTCTTTTGATTTTTTTTACACAAATTGGCCCAAAGTAGCATAAATATTTCTTCCCTTGGCCTAATCCATACCAAATCAATTAAATTTTTTTTAATAAAAACCAAAAACAATCCTATAATCCTAATTCCTAAATTCCCTAATCTGCTGCCTCTTCCATCCCTCCATCCCGAATTGCGACTGCTTCACCCTCCATCCCTCGCCGGCCGACCGTCGTACACCAAGTCTCCGACATTAAACTCAAATCCATCTCTCTCTCACTTCTTCTTTGGCCTCCAATCCTCCACAGTTCACACGACTGTAACCTCTGAGGCTCCGACAGTTCNAATTGTGCTAAAGGCCACGAAGAAGACTGAAATAGAAATTTGAACGACTTTTGTTGGTGATGGCGATTTTGATAACCTTGTTCTTCAGCGCAGTGAAGAAGCTGCGAGGTTTATTTTTGATATGTTGAACTGCTAATTGATGATTATGTTGAACTGCTAATTGATGTTGAAGCTGCGAGGTTTATTTTTGATATGTTGAACTGCTAATTGGCGATTTTTGATATGTTGAACTGCTAATTGATGATTATTTCTCAAATTTCAATTTCAGTTTTCGAATGATATAATGTCTACTTCGGGAACGACTATTCCGCGAAAAAAAACCAAAAAAAATGTTGCTGGTGCTCGCACAGACCCGACATGGAAGCATGGCATTGAAGTTGCACCACGAAAAGTACAATGTAAGTACTGTCAGGTTGTTCGTCATGGTGGCATTTATAGGCTAAAACATCATTTGACTTGTACTAGTTTTAATGTGTGTCCATGTCCTCAAGTCCCTGATGATGTTAGAAGAGAAATTGTTGAAATGTTGAGTAGTAACAATGCTGGATCAAGTAAAAAAAGAACAATTAGTGAGACTGGTAGTTTCTCGGTTGATGGGGATGTTGAAGGTGGGAGTGGAAGTAAGGATTCTGTGAACAAATTTTTTGGCAAAAATCAGAGCTTTGGGAGACAAACTACTTTGAATGACAAGTTACAGAAGAAAGAAAAGATGATCTTGGGCAACTTTTGGCTCAATGGTTCTATACTAGTGCAATTCCCTTTAATGCGATTAACAATCCTATTTTTCATAAGTTTTTGAAAGGGCATGAGGATTATGGAAAGGGATGGAAACCACCTTCATACCATGAGATTAGAGAAACTTTTCTTAAGAGATAAGTTGAAGAAACTAAGAATGGGAAGAAACAAGAATGGGAAAAAACTGGTTGTACCATTATGTCTGATGGATGGACTGACCAGAGGAAAAGAACCATTATAAACTTTTTGGTGAATAGCCCTGCTGGCACAGTTTTCTTGCGCTCTGTTGATGCCACTCATATTTCTAAAACAGCTGAGAAGTTATTTCTTATGTTAGATGAAATTGTTGAATATGTTGGAGAGTCTAATGTTGTGCAAGTTGTTACTGACAATGTTGCTAACTATAAGGTTGCAGGGAAACTTCTAATGGAAAAGAGGAACCATTTGTATTGGACTCCTTGTGCTGCGCATTGTATTGATTTAATGTTGGAGGATTTAGATAAAAATGACATTGCGCATAAAGAGACCGTAGCAAAGGCAAAATTGGTGGTTTCTTTTATCTACTCTTCAAGCACAATTGTCAATTGGATGAAAGAATTCACCAAGGAAAAGGAGCTGATTAGGCCTGCCATTACACGCTTTGCCACTTCATATTTGACATTGAGCCGCCTTAATGAATTGAAGGGTGATTTGTTTTGTTTTTTCTCTTCCGAGAAATGGACTACCAGCGTGTATGCTAAAAAAAAAAAAGAAAGGGCGGCAAGTTTGTAATATAATATTTGATTCCCAAGTCATTTGGCCTAATGTTGAGTTGTGTATAAAGATTGGATCTCCACTTCTCAAAGTGCTAAGGATGGTTGATTCTGATGCTACTCCTGCAATGGGGTTTTTATATAAAGCAATAGAGAGTGCAAAACAACAAATTCAAGCTAACTTGAGAAATGTTAAGAAAAGGTATCTTTTATTTTGATATTAGCACATTTGATATTGAAACATACATATATTTGTGATTTTTATATTTTGACTATTTTACTAATTTTGGTTGCACTCTTATAGGTATGAGCTTGTGTTTGCAGTCATTGATAAGTGATAAGATGGAATGCTTAGCCATGATTTACATGCTGCGGGTTACTATTTGAACCCTCAATTTCATTATAGTTCATCTTTTAGTAATGATCCCATCGTGAAGCAAGGTTTTATAACTGTATTGGGAGAATGGTTGCAAATAAGGAAGAAAGGATAAAGATTGATTTGCAATTGGAGTCATTTAAGCATGCCAAAGGATTGTTTGGATTTGAAAATGCTATTTTGATGAGGAACAAGAAAACACCAGGTAAGATTTCTATATTTCACTACTATGTTTAGATGGTATAACCATATAACCTTGTAAGTTTTAAACCACTGATAATATGTTAATATTATATTTCTTTTTTGTTTCATCTAGCCGATTGGTGGGATTCATATGGAGATCAATGTCCGAAGTTGAAGAGATTTTCTATTAGAGTTTTAAGTTTGACTTGTGGTTCGTCAGGTTGTGAGCGGAATTGGAGTGCATTTGAAATGGTAATAAGTTTCTCCTTTTGTTTGATTATATTTATATGCTATAATTATGACTTGATTCAAAATATGATATGCATTAATGACGTAGTAGACTAGTAGTCTATTATTTTACACTGTCTTGATTTTGAACAATTAGGTGCATTCAGAAAGAAGGAATCGTTTGACTCATAAGAAAATGGATGAGTTAGTCTTTGTTATGTGCAATTTGAAATTGAAGCATGACAAAGAAATGCAATGTAAGCCGCTGAATTTTGATGTTATCCAAGAAGTGGAAGTTGGAGAAATTCATGATAGTGAATGGATAACGGAGCAAGGGGATTTGCAGCATAATGGTTCCACTTGGAATGAAGCATTGAATCCAAATGTGTTTCATAACTCCGATGAAGATGTAGATGAGGTTGAATACAATAAGGAGTTTAGTGGTTCACCAACACACATTCGGAGTTCATGTAAGTATTTTGGTTGATTGTCTATAAATAACTTGTATTCTTTTTGGTGTTAAAAAGTTTTTTTCACTTGTATTTACCTATATATTATTTAGTTCAAGGGCCTAGTAGTAGTAGGTCACGAGGCAAGAGAAGGGCTAATCAAACTCAAAGATTTTAACTCATTGATGAAGAAGATGACGAAGATGAACATGAATTTGCAAATGACAGAGATGATGAAGGCCATAATGATGGTGATTATGAATTTGCAAATGCTCGAGTTGATTTTCAAAGGATGGGAGATGAAAATGCTCATGCCAATGATGCAAGTGATGATTTGGGAGCTCGTCATATTGATGAGTGTTCATTTTCTACTGGATGGAAGCCATGGAACAAGACTATTGATGAACATGATGGTGATGGTGATTAGTTTGGTTATAAATTATGATTTGAACTTGTGTTTTTTGTTTCACTAGTATGTTCGAAGTTTGAAATTATGTTATTTTACTATTCACTAGTATGTTTGCCTTTTGGACTTTGGTGATATTGAACATTGGATTCTCTAATTTGTCTATGTATTTGTAAGTGTTAACTTTGAAGTTTGAACGCGTAGAGTATTAAAATTTGAACATTTATATTTTGAAAAACAAGTGGTGGTTTTTTTAACATTTTGATACATATTTCTTGATGATTACTATAAAACTTGTTAAAATAATTAATTTTAGACGTTTTGAGTAGGGTCTTACGATTTTACGATTCCGATTTTACGATTCCGATTATGCACCAAAACGATTCTACATAGAATCTCGATTTTGAAAACCTTGCACTACAGTTAGGAAAGTAAATTTTATTTGCATATAAAATATTAGATTTTAATCTTTTTTTTTTTTCAATATAAATGCTAAAATATGATTACATAAGGTAGTACAATTTAAGTTTTTTTAAAACTCTAATTGATAGATCTAACATTATTAAAATTTTAAAACAGTACCTTAGGTGTAATAAAACTCATTTGCACGATTTTCATACCTAATTAACAATCGAAAATTTGAAAAGTTTTTATAATTTTTCCAACTAAATATCAGATATATAATAATCCTAAAATAAGCATAATTTGAAGATACTGAAACTCATGTTGATAGTAATTTGACAAAAGTAAAATTCTAAAAAAAGTCCACTACAATTATTTATAAAACGTGCAAGGAGAAATAAGAGAGAGAAAGAAGAATGAGAAAAGAGGATGAGAAAAGAGAAGTATGAGAGAGAAAGGAAAAAAAAGAAGATAATGAAATAGATTATTTGGTTACTTATGTCTTTTAGCTGCAGAATGGGCCAAACGTGAATTTCATCAATTTTAGATTAAAATTTTAATTGAAAGAAATAACTTCCGGTTTTCAAAGTTGGGCTTTCTTTCTAACTATTTATTGGTCCTAGTACAACTGGCCCAAGGCTAGGTCCACCATCTAGGGCTTTGTTAAGCTTCCTACGCCCTCTACTATAAAGCCGAATCGCCTTCCCAATTCCGGGTCCTCACTGAAACTCTCCTCCCAACTTCAATTTTCCCCCTTTTCCATTTTTTGATTTCGTATGTTAATTTCTTGCCTATGGCATAGATTTTTCAGGTTATTTTGTCTTTGATATTCGTATATGTTAAGCTATTCTTTGAATTGTGAAGGGCGGTGATGAGAATTATAGAGAATGTCATGCACCACTCTGAATATTGTGATGATAAATTCTCATACCCATTTACAAATTCTGAGCCTTCTCTAATTTTCTTATTCGTTTGTGTTATTTTTTATTTAAAATGTGATTATCATTTATTGTTTTGGCCACTGATTATTATATTTATTTACCTTCGATTTATATTTTATTTTTTCATGTTTTTTGATGTAATTTTAAGTCTTAACATTCGAAATAGAGGAACCAGATGATGCGATCTTTCTTGTGAAAGAAAGTTCAAACCATGATGCGGACCGTACATTAGCTTATTGCTTCTGGGGATAAAATTTGGTTTCTGATGGTTCCTTCTTCATGTTTTGTAATTTTATTTATGTGCACGATAAACTTTATTTACTTCAGATTAAGAAAGTAGATTAAAGAAAATTATAGATAGATCAACCTCAATTAAATTTCAACGTTTCGAAATCAATTTTCAATCTATATAGCACACTCTATCCCTCTCATGATATATTTAATCGTACTTGAAATAGAAGTTGTAATGAAACAAAAGAAAAATATATTTAATTATTGCTATATTGCAAAAATAACAATGAATTTTTCGTAGATTAAATCATTTTTTTTATCTACATTTAAAATACACGAATTTTGCAATATTGTATAATCTAAGGCATTTGGCTAAACATGTAGGTTTCATAACTCATGAGAAAAATATTTATATCTAGATTTCTTAAAAAAAGTTGGTTATTGTTAAAAAAATGTGATTTTTTTTAGAACAAATTATTCTACCTTTTTTCCTCTTAAAGTATAGTAATAATATTACCTTTGAAAATCTATATATATATAAAATTGGTAGCAAAGAAATTAATAGAAATATTTTGATTTCAATCCAAAAGATGTTACAACTTATATTATTATTATTCTTTTTATTGATTTATCTATATATTTATATATAGGGATAAAAAAATTAATGATATTTTTCCATTCTTTTTTGATTTAGTTATGGAAATTGACCTTTACTTGTTTTATTAAATAATTGTAATAATATTTTTAACTTATTTATCACATAATATTTATTATAAAAAAATTAATGATATTTTTCCATTCTTTTTTGGTTAGCTTAGAGTATCTTTAGTCACAAAGGTTTATAAACTTTACTTTTTACATTATCAAACTCCACATCATTTAAACCTCATTCTCACTCCTAATATCACAAACCTCCAATAATCATAAACCGCACAAACCTTCTTTTAGTGGATACCCAATATTTCCCACTTACTTTAATTTATATCAATTTAATTAATGTTTACTAAAAAACTAATAATTTTTTACAATGACATATTTATTTTATATCACAATAAATATATTTTAAGTACAATTAAAATTAAAAAATAATAATAATAAGTGAAATTTATTACACATAAACCTTACAATAATATAAAATATAAAAAATTACATGCTGGCAAAAATTAAAAAAAAATAATAAGAAAATATGATTACACAAACCTTACAATAATATAAAATCTAGAAAATTACATGGCGATAAAAATTAAATTTTTCATATATTATCAATATATTACTCTTAATAATTAGGTTAATTCCATATATGTTCAACTAGGTCATGCCTAAGTTGATGATGAACCTGTCTGTGTTGCACTTCAGCTCGTATTTGCAAGTAGCAACGAAAATTTGTTGGATGACCTTGATGTGTTTGGGCGGTTCACCATCTTCATTGGACCAATTGGTTGCCTCCTCACCCTCGTCCTCAATTATCATATTATGTAAAATAATACACGCTAACATTTTTCATTGAGATCTTCTTTGTACCAAAAACGAGCTGGACCACGTACAATTGCCCATCTTGACTGGAGCACTCCAAAAGCACGTTCAACATCTTTTCTTGCAGCCTCTTGTCGTTGCTTAAACTTTTTTCTCTTTGGATCCTCTGGACATTGAAAGCTTTTCACAAATGTTGCCAATTCTGGATAGATACCATTTGTTAAGTAGTAATCTTTTTTATAATGGGTTCCATTTACTGTAAAATATATCTCTGGTGCTACCCCATGTAAAACTTCGTTGAATAGTGGAGATTCGTGTAACACATTAATATCATTTCGTGATCCAGCGAGTCCAGAAAAGGCATGATCCACAAGTCTTGTGAGGCTACAAGCATTATTGTATGTACTCCATGATCCCCTTGAGTGTATAAGCTCTGCCAACTCACTGGACAATTTTTCCATTCCCAGAGCATATAATCAAGACTCCCAAGCATTCTCGGAAAACCATGTTTTCCCTCATGTAATACAAGTAGCCGTTGAATGTCAGGATCATTGGATTAACGCAAGTATTGGGATGCAAATATTTGTCGCACACATCGACAGAACTTGATGAGACTTCTATTTGCCGTCTGCTCTGACATGCGTAAGTATTCATCACACTGATTCGCGGGTGCCTCATATGCCAGTTGGCATATAGCAGCGGTACACTTTTGAATAGGTGTAAAACTTTTTTTACCAGTCGCATCTACTCTGCTCTTAAAGTAATTAGAATGATTTTCAATAGAATCAATAATACGAGAAATTAAACGTCTAGACATATGAAATCTACGACGAAAGAAGCCCTCGTGATAGGTGGGCTCATTAGCAAAATAATCTCTTACAAGTAGAGTGTGTCCAGCGTCACGATCTCGGTGCACTACTCGCCTTTCTTGCCTTGTTAAATTTTTAGCTTGTTCGTCCTCTTGGAACTCATTAATAGCTGCCTCCATCAAGGCAAATTCAGCTTTAGTGAGAGAATCATCAAGCATACTTTTCAAGAACGTACGATATGCTACTCTGTCATTTGTACGTCTAGACATTTTATTAGAAATAATAAAGAGAAAATGGAGATTTGAGGAAAAGAAGAGTAAAAGAAGAAGCAAAAAACGATGTTGTTTACTGAAGGTGGTTGGTGTCTAATTGAATCTACCAATGCTCCATTTTATAATGAGAAGATGAGATGTTAAAGGTAAGGTTTTACAAGTGGTAGGTTGGAACCACGTGACATGTCTTTCAAACATAATTAATTTGGTTGATGGGCATTTATTTTGTTCAAATATAATGAATGCAGTTGGATAGAGACAGTGAACACGGTAGACGAAAAATACAAAATGACAAACATTAAAATTAAACACGTTACAATACATAAAAATACAGTACAAATTCTTGCAAACAAAATACGAGAAACATAAATAGAATACATTGTAAAATTTAATTGAGGCCCATTGCTCTTTCAGTTCTGCAAGAAGTGCATAATGAGCTTCTAATTCTTCTTTAGTCATAGTTGAAGTGTCTTCCTTTAGCATTTCTCTATAGGTCTTCAACGACTCTATGCGTACCAACTTCTTTATCTCCTTCTATTGCTTCTCGTGCATACTCATAATTTGTCCAAATGCATCCAACATACATTCTGCTCTTTGATCAGTACTACTCCCTGTGCCACTTTTTCCCTTTCTCTTTGTAGCCTTCGCTGCCTTCTGGCCGATGGAGTGAAGCACGTATCTTTCATCGTCATCACCAACATGCTCCACATCTTGTCCAGATCCTGAAGTGTGACCTCCCGATTATGATGTCCTAGATTTTTTTCCTCCACGAATTGCTCCACCAGTCCCTTAAAATTTTGGACTATCCTTCAGAATCTCCCAACAGTGAAGCCACTTGAAGCCTCCTTTTCTTTTCCCTTCGCTATTCCACTCTGTTAATGCATTTTGTAACACAATAGCATCATTTTCACCACTCCTTTGGTCAGCCCAAAACCTGTTTATGGATGCATTAAATTTAAGGCAATCTGCATTGAAAGCATAGAAGTGAGATTTCGTTGAATTCATAGTTCTCTCAATCAAGTTTCTAGCATGAGCTACTTCATTATAATATTGAGTGATGCGTTTCCAGAAGCCTTCAGAACTTTGTTGAGCACCTCTCGAGATAGTACAAAATGCGCGACAAAGCAACATATCTTCCTCCTGTGTCCACGATATTGCCGACGCTTTCTCATGTCTTTTTGGATCACGTTCTTTATTTTCTTCGGTCTCCATATTATGACAAATATTGTCAAGACCTTCAACTTCTGGCCCCGTGGTAGCTCTTAGGGGATTTTGTGAGCTAGTAGGCCTATTACTCATAGCTGTTGGTATGAAATTACTATGTTGAAGAGGCATGCCAAGTGAATTTAGCATTCCATACTGGGACGCTATTGGCCACCTATACTGAGACGGATTCATATTCATCGTATTTTGTTGTTGAGGGTAGACATGATTTTCTGAAGTTTGGGATATAGAAAATGAGGGAATTGGTTGATATGGAAAATTTTGAAATTGAGATTGCAATTGTATTGCAGGAAATTGGCCAAAAACGGGAGGTATACTCCTACGATTGCGAGAATTTGCTGAAGACGGACGATCGTCCTCGGAAGAGTTAGACATATTGAAATTAGAAAAATTTGGGTTTCTATCCATTACCACTTATACACTAAAGTGAAGATGTATGTTTACACTTACACAAATCTACTCATGGTTTATAGCCGGAAATTCATATACATGTGGGAAATAGAAGATAGCATGCTATCATAATAAGATAGATGCAATAATGTAACACTACAATTTGCTATAGTGAAAGTTTTTTGCACGGGTGGAATCTCATGATAAGATAAATGCATGTGACCACAAACTTGAAGATAGTGCTTAGCTTTTCATTTTGAAGTGACAACACATGTTGACCAAGAATGTATTTTGTAAATAAATAAATAATATAAAAATTAAGGAAGTAATAGAAAAATAAAATTTTATCTTCCAAATAGTTAAAAGTGTAAAGACTATAAAAAAATGTTACGCATTTGAAAATAGCAAAAAAATGTAGTCATGAAAATTTTAATATTATAATTTCATATTTTAAAAGTAATAGTAAAATTAAAATAATTACAACTCGTTCTTATTTCAAATATAGTATTACGCATTTAATACCTCGTTTTCAATTATTTTTTTCGACAACCATTGCAACTCTTTCTTATTCAAAATAGTTGCTTTCGTATTTTTTTTCGGGCTATCAAGTAATTTATTTTTTAGATCGAACAATCTCGTTTTGGTTTTTTATTTAACGAGCAATGTTTGTTGAAGTTCGTTCTTCTTCGAAAATACCTCGTTTTCATATTTTAATTAACGTATAAAACTCCATTCATTACTTTAGATTAAATATTATTATATTTCATAGTTTTTTATTAATTACTCTTTTTAAAATAAACCAAACACGATTTAATATATAATTTAAACTAAAAAATGTGAAAAAATAAAAAAT